AAAAAAAAAAAAAAATAAAAAAATTTTTTTTCATCAGAAATTTTGTTCAATGCTATTTCAATTATATTATCTCTAAAAGGTTTTCTAATTCTAAAATAATTATTATCAAATTACACATTGGTCACAATTGCTGAAATTATTCTAAAAATTTAAAATATTTAAAATATAGGTTATATCACCTGAAACATTTGTTTCAATCAACCTTACTCTCTTGTGTCTCATCTATTTCTGATTCATTTAGCATATTGATCTCTTTAGAATTAAAATGAATGCTCCAATAATTGTCTCGATTTGCTTACTTTTGTGGTCACTACACTAATTTTTCGTAAAGTTACGAACAATAGCTATCTTTGTGAAGAATTGTCTACTTACAATGCTTGATCCATCTCCGAAAACGTTGACTCTGCCTGCTCAAAGTAATGCCATACTATAGACTTTGAGAAATTATGATCGTCATCGTCATCCATCTCCAGGAGCTGATCAAATGTTTCATGATCAAGAAGATCCGAAGACGGTGTAGTAAAGTCGTCTTCTCCTCCTTCTTCAGCCTAAAAGTCAAAAATATATTTTTACAGATGGTAAAATAGAAAATTTATGTGAGAACAAAAGTGTGAAAAAACTAAACGCGAAAATTGTATCACTGAGATTATTAATAAACCATACTTTTACTCTTGGTGTTGAAGGCATTATTTCTATGTTTTACTTTATGTGCAAAAGACTAATAGATAGCAGATCGTTACGGTAGAATTATGAATTGAACCACAATCTCATAACAGAAGCAACTCTCCTTCAACTTATGCAATTAACGGCGCAATGATATCATAGTTTGAATTCACTGTATCACTTTTAAATAAATGACTTAACCGTCACGCTTTTTTGTAGATCTATACAAATTCATTTTTTAATATCGACATAACACAAACAATAGCATATATGTTACGATTCTGACTACGTATAACGATATCAACGATTGTTTGGTTTTTAAGAAATCTAATCTTGTACGTACGTACCTATGTATAATCTGTCTTATTGTTTTTTCTAACGCTAAATAATACAATTAATGTTGTACTAATACACATACATATGTAGAAAAATTCCCACTCAAATTTTTTTTTTATTTTTTGATATTGATAAAACAATTAAAAAAAGTAATCTCTTATACCGTTATTTCTCACGTGTTACTATGTTTTGAAGACAATTTTGTCTGTAAGACGTCATAAGGGATAACTATTAACAAAGAAATTTTTGTTTTTGTTACGTACGATTAAAAAAAAACTATTAAAAATTTTCATAACGATAATTCTTATTTTATTTTTAAATTAAATTCTGGTCATAATTCCATAAATATATTCTAGAATTTTCTTGTCCATTTTAAAATGAATTTACGTAGAAATCTTGCCAAATTAATAATAAAATCGTAACCCAATTCACAAAATTTTTTTTAAATTAAATAAATAGTTAATTCGGAGCGAAGCGGAAGACTATATTTCTACAAAAAGTGATAAAAAAATGTTTGTTTGTTCGTTCGTATACGTGATTCTAAACCAATCAAATCATAACATAGTTGCACACCATTTACATTATTACCGTTATTATCATTATCATTATTGCAAATAAATATTTAGCTCCGAAGATATAATGCTATATATTTACCTAATACTGTGTATAAATAAAAAAATAAACGTAGACATATTAAATATTAATTCTAAAAGCTTACAGGATTCAATACCTTACTACTGTATTAACAGCCTATAAAATAAATCAATTATTTTATATATAGTATTTTTATGTGATAAATCTTATTCCATAAGCTGAAATAGTAAACTCATTGAATAGTTATTGCATACTATGTAATCAATAATTGCTGTATTTTATGTTCTCTTCTAATCGTTCGGTAACCCAGCTAGAGATGGCCAAAATTCTTACGTATTATTATTTAATATTACTTAAGATTTTTTACTGTAAGTAATAATAAGTAATTGTTGCAACGTGTAACAAAATTAAATTAAAAAATTTTATTTTTCAATTTATAATCCGACATAATAAAAGCACTATTTGTAAATTATTTTATAAACCAATTTTTTTGTTAATTTTGAAACTTCTATAATCGATTTTTAGTAACAAATATTTGTCTACAATGAATTTTTAAACAAAATAAGAACAAAAAAAAATTAGAATGGAAAATCATCTAATTTTTTCAAATATAACCAATTTTTTAATAATTTTTATAATAATCCATGTAATTAAATTTATAAATAGCTTTACTTAATTATTAGTATTAAATATTTTTATGTTTTTAGTTTGTTTTGAGCGCTAATAAATATAAAATTTATTTTCATCTGTCAAATTAGCTTTTGAATTATATATCTTATAGTATTACTAGATTAATAAATAAAATATTATTTTTATTTTTATTTTTTTTATCAATTTGGCAATCTTGCCAATATTTTATTAGATATATATATTAACTCACAGGGAAAATATAAATTGACTAAAGTTATTTAAAGTCATCTAAATTATAAATATTAGCTAACCTGGCTCTTTATAATATCAAAATGCCTAAATTACCTATAGTAAAGTTTATCTCTATATCAAACCATTCTGCACTAGATAATTTAATATATCACTAAATAGTATTTACAGCCTATTAATATTACTTTCTTTCTG